GTTAAGTTTGAGTTGCAATGGATTTTCTAATTCTGTTTTTCGTGTTTTTCTCCTTCGATGAATGAGATTAGAATTTAGAGAGAATTGATTCATCTTTTTCGCGCTTTTTTTCCTTTAAGCGCAGTTTTATAAGAAAATAGGATTTGTTAAGCACTAATCTTTATGTAGATTACAAATTTTCGAGAAAAACTATTTTTTTTATTAGTTTTTATTTTTTATTCGTAATTTACATCACCTAATATCAGAAGTTGTTCTTCGTTTATAGTACTGTCTGGTCTTGGCCGACTTAACGAAAAAACGAATACTGCTACAGAGCCAAACACTTTGGCTAGCACATCGTTAGCTAATCAACAAGTCATAAATTCTTTGTCGTCTCAAGCATCTACATGCTTTGTGAATTCAGATCCTTCAGGTATTTCCTATGAAGTAGATGCATGAGGGTTTTATGTGGTTTTCTTAACCAAGAGCATGGCTAAATGACAAACTCTCGCGTTTATTTGCTCCTAAAATGCAAATTGCATTCAATTAGAACGCCTACTCCATAACTCGTTGCCGTCAGCGTTCCAACGTACGAGTGAAATTCGTCGGCGGCTTTTTACAACTTTGTCTTGCATTTCTAGAAATTTAGTGTGACATTTGGATTTGGAACTCTTTCAGTCTTTATAACTGCAGCTTGTCTTCCCTTGTTTTGAAGTCTGTATTTTGCTGTGAACTAATACTTCTGGTTCACTTATCTAACATATCAGTGTTATCTTACCACACACCTGCGAGGTCATGCTTCTATTTGCGTATTGGAGACTATGATTTTGTCTATTTTCTCTTGCTCTTTATTGCATAATGTAGTTTTATGCTTCTGGAAAGCAAGTAAATTTACTTCAGATGCATGTAGAAATAAATTAACTTATCTTTCTGTCTAGCTTAGGCTTTATTTTTTTAATAACTGATATCTATTTTTTGATATTTTCACTATTGAAAATTTTAGCTGCAATTCAGCAGCAGCAACAGCAGCAACAACAGCAACAGTTACTTGCAATACAACAGCAACAGAGACTCCTGGAAATCTTAACTCAGCAGCAACAGCTAACGGGCATTCAACCACAACCAGTTACAACAGGTTTTTTAGTATTTAAAATTTTTGAGTAAATGCTTTACGCTACTTTGCTTTCTATCGTTTTACAAAAACAAAAGCTGCTTTCCATTTACTTTTTGACTACAGATGAATCATAATGATCATCAATTATTTGGTTTCAGCAGATTTATCTGCCTACTTTGCTCCTGCACAACAACCCGCAGTGACCCATTTACCATTTAACGTTGCTAATTCCGAAGCCCCTGTTGCCATTATTCCAAGTGTGATTTCAAACATCATTTTCTTTCTTAATTATTTAAAAAGAATTTGATTTGATATTAAGCGTTTGACATTTCAGCTACTTCTCCGTCTGAGACGAAAAACAACTTGCTGCTTAACAATACAGGGAGCAATTTGATCCAGCTTACTGGTACAGCTACATCACCATCTGGCATTGAAGCTCTACAACAAGCATATGCAGGGATGCAACAGTATGCGGGTATCACTTACCAATAGTTACTTTTATTTAAAATTTTTAAATATTGGGTGAACGCTATGGTTTTATCATTCCTTTATTTTAAAACCAAGATTTGACTCATTTAAGCATTGAGTGCTAACTTGTTATGGAATATTTAGCTGCATTCCCTCAGTTAGCAGCTGCCGCAGCTCAGCCGATACTCGTGAATGGTACCACTACAGTTTCTTCTACGTCGTCTTCGGCTGGTGGAGGGCAGTCTAAAGGGCCTGACGGCTGCAATCTTTTTATTTACCACTTGCCACAAGATTTTACGGACAACGACTTAGTTACTACTTTCTCTCCCTTCGGAACAATATTGTCAGCAAAAGTTTTTATTGACAAACAAACGAACCTGAGTAAATGTTTTGGTAAGTACTCGTCAACTTTGATTACTGCTCTATCTGTCTGAAAAAAAATTTCTCAAATATGCCTTTTGTGGTGCTTCTTGCGTTGAATGAAGAATTTTTCATCTTACCCTCAGCGTTTCAGGTTTTGTAAGTTATGACAATGCACTTTCCGCGCAGAATGCTATATCTGCTCTTAATGGCTTCCAAATTGGTTCTAAACGTTTGAAAGTGCAGCTGAAGCGTGGAAAAGACAGCAAACCTTATTTACAAAATGGCACCTCAGTTTCTTCAAACGCTACGGCACTGTCTACTTAAAGTATTCTGTACTCAGGTTTACTTTTAGCGCAGTTCCAACATCTTTGAATGTCCTTATATTCCTTATTTTCAATGCATGTGTTGTTCCACCGACTTGTTGGGAGGGAAGTTCAGGTTTTTTTGCTTTACCTTTCCTTCATGTTAAATGTTATTTTCTTCGCTGTCCCAGTCGTTAAAATTGTCGCACTGATAAGATTTAACTCTTCGTATTAGATATGGTACTTTGCTTCCAATCGTTAAAGCTTCAGAACGTGGTTCATTAAAAGATTTTTTATGATAACTTCTTCTGCTTGCTTAGGTTTTCTGTTTGCTTTTTTAATGCATGGCAGTGTATGTGTTTAAAGTAGAGTTGTTGTTTAATTTTGTGTAGGTAAAGTAGAATTTTTATATTTTTGCTTTGAAAGTCACTCAGTTTGTTAATTTACTACAGTTATACTCTGTTCATTTGGGTTTTTAGGCTTTTTCTACGAACGAAGTTGGTTGAGTATCTTAACAGTAATTTTTAAGGATTAAGTTGCTTTCGACATTTTTTGTTTTTAAGTTTACATTAATATTTAATTGTTCGCACCAAAATTGTGATTTAAGAGGATTTTAAATTGTGGTTTATTGCTCATCTTTTTTTATCCTGGTTCTTTTCATGTTTAGCACAGAAACTTTATTCTCGATGTCACTGTCACTCGTTCGTTTTTATAAACTGTTGGTTTTTTGCGGTGTACTGTGTGAGGATAGCTTCGGAGAAAGATGGATTTTTGATTATATGCATTTATTTATCAAATGTTTATCGTTCTTTTTTTTTACAGCTGCTTCGTGATACGTTTTTTCTGGTCTTGTTTAGTAACTTTTTGCACTTAATAAGTTCTTTGTCTTATTAATTATATTTATACTTAATGCGGAAAGATATGCTTAATATCAGCTCAATACTTTGTTTATGTTCAGCGTTCTGCGCTCTTGCCACTCGCATTTGATTGAAAAATTTCTTGCCTGAGAAGTTCAGTGTTACGAGTTCGTTTTTACGCTGTATCTTGCTACGTTCTTTGACGACCACTATTACTTGCCTTTTTTTTTTCCGTTGTTTTAGTCCTATGTTGTATAACTACTGTATTGCAGCACTTTCGTACAGGCGTATATTTAAGTGTTTTTTTGGCGGTTATAAAATTTTTTACTGTGGTGTTGTTGCTTAGTGATTGTTTCATGCATCGTTTGTCCCAAAAAGGCTCACATGACAATAGCTTCTCAGCTTATTTAGTTGGGTTCATTGACATATAAGGCGGGATAATCGGCAATTTAAATGCTGTATGTCAAACTAAAACTACTGTCGAATTTTCTTCCTTTGCTGAAGTTCTTGTAAACCATGTGGATTTCAAAAATACTGTTTTCTTATTGTGGAAACAGTTGGCCGCAATTTAAATCCACCGTATTGACGAGAAAGCTGTGTGTAAAGTCATGGTCTTCGACGCATTCTTCGCTCAGCATGCAATTGTTTATCGTTTTTTTGTCGCTTATGAATGTTTTTCTGTTTAGTGTTAGTATGCAAAATGGTTTTTTTGTCTTTTAATTTAGTTGGTAGAAAATGCTTATTTTGCTTTGACATTTGGTTGCATTTCTATTATATTGAGATACAGAAGTAGTGAGGTTTACTGATTTCGTGGCAGGATTCTACTGGACATCATTTTTTGCTGTCAGCTTCATTTGTAGTTCGAGAGAAATACAGATTTATCAGTTGCAAACAAAATGGCATCGTTGACAGAACAAAAGAAGCAAAAGCCTATGATTGAATCATTTTTTTCTGGCCAGTGTCTGGCATATGTTTAAAAATTTAGTCTTTATAGTCATTGTTACTGGCAAAATCTTGCCAGTCGCATCAATTGTTTTCGCTAGACATGACAAAGATTTCTTTTGTTCTTCCCATATCTTCCCGGAATCCTGTTTTTTGCCAAACGCCGTGAAAGTCATAGATGTTCAGTAGATAAGTTTTGGTCTAATAGGGAAGATGCAGCATAAGGAGGGCATAGAGAGCAGCGGTGTTCCTTTCAAAAAACTATTTCATCCTATGAACCTCTTTAACCAAGATGGTTAGGATTTCTCTTCATATGAAGCATAGTGAAATGAAGCATGTAATAAAGGAAGAAAGTTTCGGTCTTATTAGGGTGAAGTGAAAGCAGAGTTTGGAAAGGAATCTCTTAGGACGACAGTTCGCCTTCGTTAACGCTTTTGTAAGAAGTACTGGTTGTCATAACACCAGGGTCCAATGCTCTCTCTTCGCGGCTGTGCTTCATTCCGTATGGAAGATAAATTCCCATACCTGAAAGCAACTTTCATGAACTCTTAGCAAGCGAAAACTCAGTATTTTTCCTTACATAAAATTGTTAACTTAATTGAAGCATAAACTGGAAAGGCATTGATCGTTTCTGCATGCATCACTGTATAAGTTTGAAATTAATCTGCTTTTTTTGTCACATGTGATGAATTTTTGGTGTAAATATTAAGTGGGTTCAGTAAGTGGTCGTACGGCTCACCAAAAGTTTATTTTTATAAAAAAACATTGGTTTTTCACTTTTTCGTTACTACTGTTTGAAATGTTCTTACTTGAAAGGAATTGACCATTCAGTTCTTGGTCCCACTGACTACCAATGTCCAAGGCGTTTTATAGTTTTTAATTAATAAATAGTTGTTCTATATCCAAAGTCTTACTAATACTTAACAATACTGGACTGGTTATCTTTTTTTGTTGGTTCAAAACGTGAGATGATGATGAAGAGGTCTGAGAAACCTCAAAATGATACTTAAAAGACAGCAATTTTTCTGGTAGCGTTTTCTGTGATAACCTTGTGGTTCAGTTGTTCTTGTGGCAAGATCGCATTAACATTGCATTTTTGTAAAAAACCACTCCGTTGTTGCTCACATTGGAGAAAAGAATCAAAGAGTCTGTTGTATCTCATTGTATATTTGTGTTATTTTATGTTATCAAAATTACCTCAAAACAAACGGTTGAAGAACCAAACCTTCGTTGTTCTTTTTTTTTTTTAATTTTTACCAAATTCTTATTTTAAAGACGGTACGTAAGGAAAATGGTCATTTTGTTCTCAGTCGAGCCTCATCTGCTCTCCTCTGCTCTATCTCTTTAAGTCTCGCGTCACAAATAAGCTCGCTGTTTTGTAATCTAATTTTTTTTTGCTCATTAAATTTCAAAGACGGTTTAAACATGTACCGTATTAGATTGTATAAGTTTAGAAAAACATAAGTGATGCATTCAAATTGTTTCCCAGCGTATGTTTAATATAGTATTTGTTTAATCATTTTGTTGGATTTGGGTTTGTTTTTTGCAGGTAGTATTTGACCTGTTCTTTATTACTCTCTTTTCTGCGGCTTTTTTTGTTTTCTAAAAGATGGGTCTTCTGTTCTTCTGTTTTAGTTTCGTGCAATCTGCTACATTAATATCCTGTTAGTGGCTGTATATTGCGTACCTAAGTCAACGTTATCTTTCCTTTTGTTTCCAGTCTTTAGTTGCGTATTTCAAAGTATTTAATGAGATCTTTACGACGTGTTTTCACCATCAACAAAATAATGTTGTAGTCTCTGAGCTTCCTTTTTTTGTAAAGACTGATGAAAAATAGATTTAAAAATTTGTTTTTAATAAAGTCATACCGATTAGTAGCCATACCAAAAGTCGAAGCCAAGTGATTGGTGCCAAATGGAGCATTAATAGGATGTTGATAAACATGCTCAAAGCTGGTATTACTGGGACCCACGGTACCTACAATGATAGCACTTGTTTTTATATGGGAGGAGCAAACTTTGAAAAACTCCGGTCTCTGCCGGCTTTGTTGGTCAGAAAGGATTTGAAGATGACATACAGTGAACTGTAATTCTTCGTTGTTCTGGTGATGTAAGCAAATCAAACCCAGGCTGATAAGTGAGACTATTGAAGAGAATATCAAAACTAGTAGTCCAAATAACGTTGCGGCTCCGCCAGTGGCTAATATTAGTCCAATACTTGAGAAAGCTGAGATCATAGCAAACACACATACTGTTACCAGTTCTCCTGGTTTAGCCAAACGTAACCATTTTTCGCCAGGTACCCACGATCTTATACAGCCACCTGACAGATGTTAAAATCAAAGTAGTGCATTTGGAAACGTTTGGTTGTGTTATGAAATTTAAAACAAGTAGGGATGAAATACCAGGAACTTGAGAAATGTCGTCAGCCTCAATTGTAGGTCGATAACGAAGAATGATAACACAAGCAGAGACGAATGTGTAGGCGAGTAATGTACCTATGGATAAAAACTGAACCAATGTATCGATGGTGAAAAGCAAAGCAACAGCAGCCGTAGCTGTACCAAAAACGGCCATGGCATTTACGGGGACCTGAAATGAATCTGCCAGTCATCAACTTAGCAAAAAATTTCTTTTAAAAACTGGCAGTGAGGAAATTGAAGCATAAATTCTTGTCAATTTTGTTTATTAATGAAAAAAATTGAAAGGCCGTAAGGCATTGGCGGACCTGTGTTTTTTCACTGATTCGTGCAAAGAAGCTAAAAAGCAGGCCATCTTCTGCCATAGCGTATACACAACGCGGAAGAGCAAAGAGAGATCCAACCTTAAAAAAGCTGAATGGAGAAGAACGATTAGGTTTTTACTGTCGTTTAGATGATCGTAATTCAATACATTATCAATACCCGACAATCCTCTAAGCATTTTACACGATGAACTCTACACTACATGTAAATGAATCAACAAAGTGAGAAAAAATTGATGTTTTTATACGGAAAATAAGAGGTAATTATTTTTACCAGACTCGTGGCCATTCCTGAAATGGCTCCGATGGAAACAACGTACTTTGCCCATATGGCTCCGTGTTGGGCGAACGCCTCGGAAAATGCAGCAGTTGGGTTCACCTAAACGGAAAATTACAGAACTACACCAAAGAAAAAAGTAGAAATGACACTGTTGCATACTAGTCATTAATTCTGTCAGCTTAGTCGATGTCAGTTATATGTCAGTTATCTTTATTGAAGTATTCTGGCCACAAAGTTAATGCAAGCTTGTTGTACTAATGCTTAAGACCTTCATTGCCAACACGAGGATAATTTCGTGCTCTGGAAGAAGTTTTCACGTCTGCTTTGACTGTTCGGGTTTTTATTGCTAAGCTGTCCTCCTTTTAAGTAAAACCGGTGCTAATCCACACTACTACTGTGACTGAATGGACGGCTTATTTTGTTTTTTTACTTTTCTTTAATACGGAGCTTTTTTCACAGTAAAATCAAAAATCTCGATCTGTCATTAACCAGGTTTTGTTGGATTATTTTCTAATCACCGTTTTTTAAACAGTTTGAGACAACTTTCTTGTTTACTTCAGACGCGTCAAGCACTTTTCTACTGGGAATGGCTTGGTTTCTAGTACTAAACTACACCGGTTATGCAGCGCATTTTAAAAGCTCCACTGTTGGTTAAAGCAAAATTTTTCGAGTAAGAAACTTAGTAAGAAACCGGAAAAGAAAAAGAAAAAGAGAGGAAAATTTTAGAGTTAAGACGTAAAAAAAAACAAGCAGCCAGCATTCTTCTGCTTCTCCTTTTGATACTACAAAGGCGTCAAACATGGAAAAATTATAAGAGTAAACGCTAAATAAACAAAGTTTTGAAAGAATCTTGCAATTTAGTTTTCTTTTTTCTAACTGTTTTTATAGGTTTGGTAGCCAGCAATTGAAGGCGTGAAAAGGAGTTTTCTTGCAGAAAATACGCAATTACTTCCTATTTTCCTCTTTCTTTTTAATCTTTCTTCTTCTTTCTTGCTCTACTCTTTCCTCAATACTGCTTCAGGATAGAAATAACAGACCGGAAGAGAGAAAAACGAATCGAAAACGAAAAGAGAAGATGGGATAGGAATATAATTGCAGTTTATTAGTTGCAATAAGATACTGAACTGTGGTTTTCTACGGCGCACTTTTCTTCAAATTATGAAGACAATTTTCTTCAAATTATTGTTTTTTTTTATTATTTCCTAATGGTTAAGAAAGTCGAAAGAAACAAGTACCATACATATCATTTATCCTGTTAGCTCTTTCTTCTGCTTATACTCGATTTTTTGCTGAAAATAAGCTATTCTTAACCTTTGCTTTACTCCCCCTTATTACACGTATCACGCACATTTGTACGGAGAAAACGATACACTACCGTTTTAGTTGCTTGGCCGTATTGGCCTTTTGTATTGACTTTTGGTTGACTTCAGTTAATGTGCCGTAGGTAGATCAGCCAATTCGTGCTTATCAATTTATATTTATTAGTGAAGTTGCTGATTGACAAAAAATTTAAAAACCTTTCCATTACAAAAATGTGTAAATTCTTTAGAAATGCTTCAAAAAAAAAATAATAGCAAAGAGAGGCGAGTGAAAAAACCGCATCTAACTTTTACACTCAAATGTGATATACCCGTGAAAATTTTTGCAAACTTTCTTAAAATTTTCTAATTTGACATTTCACAGCCAGACTACACAGAACAGATGCGATTTAAAAAAGTATACTTTTTAATCTTTGTTAAAGAATTTAAAACAAGGTAAAAAAATAAAATACTGGAAAGCTTTGGTCAAATCGTTTACCACAGCAGTTGTATGGTACCTTACTTTCAAAAAAAAAAAAACATTTTATTTGTGGAAAGAATGCTTTTTCCAGGTATTTCTTCATTTCTTTTTTCAGTTTTTCTTTCAGTTTCTTATTGGTAGCTGATAATACTCTCTGAAAATATCTTCTAAAAACTTTCCTACAAAGGAGACTTTTAGAGAGAACAAATTTCTTCCAAAAATGAAGTTTGTTCTAATAATTATTACTTGTTTTATGCAAAAGTACTCGTTTTAAAACATTAAATAAAGGCATCGATTGGCGGGCTTAACGCACTCTTCAAAATCTTCAAATTGCAGAAGACAGAAACACTAAATCTCTACTCTATAAAAAAATTTTCGTTTAAAACGCAAATATTTATGCATTGTTCAACTTCTTTTTCCATTGATAGCTTTCTGAAAAAAAGATTTGTGAAAAAGACAAACGGACCTGTGCCGCTGGCATGAAGAAGTAGTTCTCTACTTATTTTTGAACAGAAAACGTTATTTGGTGCACATATTTTCTTTAGCAGCTTTTAGAAACTGCAAACAAGACTTAGATCGGTATCTAATCCTTATTTGTTTTGTCCCATTAAGGTAAAAAGTGGCCCTTTAGCCTCATCCAAAATTTACAAAAACTTCAAAAAAAAACTTTTCAACGCAAAAAAATTAATTCCTGATTTCGTCCGTTTATTTCGATATTTGTCTTGACATCGAACAAGATTAATGGCGGTATTCTTTTACGCTCTTTTATATTTGAAATTATGTTCTTAATAAATTGGCAAATTTTCTTGACACTCTGAACACAAACAGTTGGGTAATCTCGTATACTAGTCAGTTTGGTACTTCACGTATTTTCATGATAGAAAGCAATAATTTTTTTTGTAGAAAGTGAGGTACTATGCATTTTTGGCCTTTTTTTCTTTGTAAACAAGAAGGTTAAGAGAGTGAGCGTTCGATATAGAGAAGAAAGACCTATAATTTATACGGTATAAAATAAATGTAAACAACCTGTCTTTCATGAAATACGAAACCATCAGTTCATAATGAACAGTCTAAATAGAAGAAGACCCAGAAAAACCCGATGTTTCATTCTAGCAAAAACGTTTTAAATCAAATCTCATTTGCAACAGTAAGAATACACTTTGTACTCATATACTTTATCGCGCTACTTAAAAAAACTTTTTATGAAACCAGCTACTTTTACGAACTAAACTGCACATTTTGTTGCAAAGTTTCCTGCGCACCGTGCCTTTACTTTACTTTGTAAGTGCTGAAAATTACAGAAAAAGAACGAAAAAATTAATATTTGAGAAAGTAGGTTAGCGAAAAAAGCAATGATGCGGAAAATGTAAATAAATAATTTATAGTCTTAAAGATTGAAATGATATGAGAATTTATTCGCATCTTATAATTTCAGACAGTAGTGTTTATTTATAACTAACCATGTAGTAGGGCACCATAAGCGTTAAAGCAGCAGACATCAGAATGTAGGCAATGGTCACAAATGACATTGATGCTAGAGTGGCCAGTGGAATTGAACGAGCTGGTGCTAAAAAAGGTGGAATAGGATAGTGGGATGAAAATCTCAAGCCGTGTGTCTTGTCATTTTAAACATCACGACCATCCATTTTTGTGCTCATTGACGAAGCACTGATTTTTTAAGTTTATTTCTGTTGTGGTTCTAAAAACTTGAATTTTAGACCTGTAAAAATTACATTCTAAAGCAATTATTACTGCTATAGTTTTATTTTTGCAATTTTTCCCCAAAATTTTTTCTGTGCAAACCAAATATTCAAGAAACAATTGAAAAACCCTCGTTTCAAAAACAAAGTAATAAAAGGAAAAAAACTCACTCAGAAGGCTCAAAAAAAGCATAATCTGAAAATTGCACTATTCCACCCGAAATCAATCAACTAAACAAAATTTTTAACTATATTAAAAAGAGAAGCAAAGAAAATAATTTAAGCAAAAACTTATCGGCGACGTGAATACCCGTGTCTAAATTTATTTGCACGAGTCAAATGACGTAATAATGGTTCAATAATGGTTTTTTTTCTGAACTTCTATGACGAAAAATCTTTCAATTATGGAAAATTTTTCGCCTTTTCATTTTCATTTTTATCTTTTTTTTTTTACGTTCCACAAACAACTCTCACTTTTAATATTTGCGTGACGTCAAAATTCAAGTAGTCTAAAGACCTCGTAGAAGAAAAAAGATATTTCAATTAATAAGCCAATTTGTAAGTAAAACTTGGCTATTTTTTCCTGTTTGAATAATCTCAGCTTGACAAATAAACATTTGCACTCACCATATTAATACAAGTTAAATACTTGCTCAAATTTGCATAAATCTACAGATCCATACTGCTAATACTGGAATAGACAAATTCAATTTTTTTTACTAGTTTTACCAGCTTGAAAATCTTATTTTTATTTTACAATAATTGGTGTAAAAACGATCTGCTGCTTGATGGTAGGCAATCGTTAGAAGGTTTTTCAAATCTGGCACGAAGTTTTAGATAACGCTTTTCAATTACCACCTATCTCCCACCCTTTTAATACCTAATCCTTCTTTTATCCTCTGCTACTTCAATTCAAAACTGGCGTATTTTGACAGAAACAGGAAACTTAAAAGTTAGCAGAAAAAAGCACAAATTAAATGAATATAACATGTATAAAAAAGTACAAATTTTAATCTGCATGTGATTACTCACTCTGCGATTCTTCTCCTGCTGTAGCCAGTCCATCGAAACCAATATAGGCGAAAAAGCAACTAGCAGCTCCAGTAAACATTCCGGCCCAACCATATGGAAGAAAGTTCCACTCTCCTTTTTCATTAATACCTTTCCAATTAGACAAATCGGCAAAGGTAAAGCCATAAACTGTCACAAATAATATTACCTCAAAATATTCTTCCTATCACTACCATCAGGCATTTAAAATACTGTTAATTAAAATTTTCTTGCATTGATTGATAGTAAGGTGATTTTAAAAAAGAAAAAAAAAA